GACAGTCGCGCATGCAATTTTGAGGGCACAATTTTAAGCGTTTCATAATACATGACTGACCCCGAAACAATTATAAACTAAAGGAGAAAGTTAGGGAGAATCTCAATAAAGGACCACAAGTGAAACTTAACTTCATCAAAGGACCATTACATCCTGAAATTTAAATGCAAAATTAAGTGAAATTTATATGCATGGCTTTGGATTTGAGCCAAATCCATTGCTTAAGTAATTAAAGATGTGTGAATTTGGATTTGCCCAAATCCAAATCCAAATCCAAATCTTATCTCAATCTTTTTATAATTTTAATTTTTTTTAAACCATTATTATTTTAAATTTCAATGAAAGCTTCTCTTTTTTTTCACGTTTATTCGTTAACTTCACTACCTTCTCTACTTTAACATCATTGCCTCCGACTAACATCCATCAGGACCATAAGTGATGACCAAAACCAAAACGTCGATGCCAATTGGGACGTAATGGCTGACATTTACAAGGATCAAAGCGTTGGCAACAAATGAGATCAGATAGCCAACTTTGACTTGGATCACACGGACAGCATCGGGAGCGAACCGTTGGTACTAACCTATACCTAATGGCAAGCTGTGACTAGGACCGGATAGTCGATACTAATAAGGACAAGACCGCCAGCTTCAACTAGAACAAAGAAACTGAGGTATACCAAGACTGAACTGCTAGCTTTGACCAAGATTTTATAAGATCATCAATGTTGATTGAGACTACCCTCTTTCACAGCCCAATGTTGATTTGCCTTTAAATTCAAACATAGAATTTGCAATTTGAAATTTTATCCAAACAAAATATTTAAATATCATAATTTAAAATTTTTTATATCATCCAAACAAAGAATTTAAAATATATGAATTTTAAATGTAAAATTTCAAATCTAAATTCCCAACCCAAATCCACCCATCCAAACGCAATATAAAAGTAACATTAGAAGGGAAATGACTTAATTATCCTCAGCTTAGAAAGAAAAATAGCTTCTACAGAACCCCTACTTACTCAAACCCAACCTCACATGCTACCAATGAACTTCTTTACCTCTATCATCAACTAAAGCTCGTTTCTCCTGTCTTCATTGATTAAGCTAACCCTCCTCCACTCTTCCATGTAGTCAATCGAAGGCCCCTCTCCATTTATGGTGAATCATTCAAAAACATATTAAAGATGTTGAAATCCTCACTCGTATTTCACACAAAAACATATTGAAAATATGGAGGAGAGAGAGTGAGGGAGATGAACTGGACAATGGAGATAATAATCGTAACAGCTAAAAAGCACAAGAAGATTGGGGATTGAGAGATTCTGGCTATCATTGAACACGAAGAAGGTGAGCTATCTTGCCCATCAAATTCAAGACCAACCTCAATAATCTAAAATTTGAAGAAAAATTGGAACCAATTTGGAAGAGAGAATCCAAGAGTTTAAATGAAATCAAACCTTAATTATATTGACAAAGATGGAGGATCTTGAAGATTTGGGTGTGGATTTAGGGAGGAGGGAAGGAGGGAGAATATTTGTCACACGAACATGAAGCAACGAGTCGGGTTCCAATGTCAATGGGCAGAGAAGTTTCCATTATACTTCTACCTGTTGCCTTGTTGTCACTTAATATTTGTTAAGACTGAAATATTACTTATGCAATATTCATCATGTAAAACAATTCATAACTAATTAAATTATTAACATTATTTGTAGAATGTTTAATATTACTTACAAATTACTTTAGTTCGTAATGTGACATACAAATATGACCTCTCTCATATGCTATTAATTTTTGTTTAAACACTAGGGATAACAATCATTTCACCATGAAACTTAATTTCATGTTGGTCTTCAAAACCTACAGTATTATTTTAAAAGTGTTTAGGTGTGATTGGAAAATATGTGCCTATCATAGTCCTAGAATGAAATTCTCCTGACATGTAAACTATATTGCATTGAAAGAAAAAAAGAATTAAATTTAAACAATAAAGATTAAATTAAATTTACAAAAAAATATCACCAAATAGCATGAGAAAATCCCCACAAAAGAAACTTTATCACCCAAAAGTTGTATAAAATTCACAAACTATTTTTAAGTTTCAAATCATGCACATTAACAATTTGACAAAGGACATTTACAACTAGTGAACGGGCATTTACAACTTGCTACCCAATTATAAATGCCCTTTGTCACATTCTAAATGTGTAGGATTTAAGACTTGAAAGTCTTTTGTAAATTTTATGAGATCACTTGGTAACAAATTATCTTTTATGAGGCCCAGGTGTAATTTTCCTAAACCCCTGAGGGAGGGAGGGAGGGAGGGAGGGAGGGAGTGAGTGAGTGAGTGTGTGTGTGTGTGTGTGTGTGTGTGGGCGAAAATTGGCCAAACCCCTGAAACCCATAAGTTGCGACCACTACAGGTGAAAAGCAGCAAGAGGATGAAAATTGTCACATGACCATTAAACAACGAGTTCTGGAGTAGAAAACTGCATATTATTTATTAAGTGATGTTACATAGAGAGAAGACGCAAGATTCAAAATACCAGGTGACATGAGAAAATAAACGCCAAAATCGAGACTTTCCGCTTCCAAAGGAGATAAAAAAGTAAGAATCTCATTTGAGGCCCTCAAAATGAAAAAAAAATTTACATTTAAGACTCAATAGAATCCAAAAACACACTGTAAGCCCCAAGGACCTTCTTGCAAATTTCATTGTGGAGACAAAAGAACACATTTGCCCTTATCTCAATAGAATGTCCACATGTGTACAAAACAATATCTGCAAATTCTTAACACAATGTTCATAAATACACAACACATTTGGTGCACATTAACTTTAAATATGTTATTTCAATGAAAGTATGTTGTTTATTATGAACTTTAAATTATACAAATTTTGCATATCTACATATGTTTATTACATTGATAATTGATAGACATTGTGTTGTGCATTATTTGCTTGCTTATACATTTCACTTTAAATTAAATCATGTCCACCAAATGTCTTATGTATTTATAAATACTGTATTGAGAATTCATGCACATTATATTGTGCATACATGGACATGGCCTTGAAACAAAGGCAATAGTATCTTTTCATCTACAACAAAATTTACAAGAAGGGCAAGGGCTCTCAAGTATGCAGTGTGTTTTCAGATTCTATTGAACTCTAAATGCAAATTTTTATGTTCTAGGAACCCAAAGTCAGATTCTCCCGAGAAAAAGTTAAGTATCAGCTGGAAAAAGAACCAACAATCTCGAAAATTTGCAAATTTTCAACAACTTAACATTAGTACTACCTGGGTCCTTTAATACATAAAATCCACAGAAAGCCATATTATTCATAAATTACAAACAACATGAGATACTTCAAACTCTCTGCAAAGCATGAACTACTCATAGTATAGTTTCTTTCAAGACTTCTATTAACCAGTGTAGAATGAAGTAAAATAGAAACACTTCATAAAAAAATATCAAACCATGATATGTGTTATAAGAACTAATCAACAACAATCATCAACCATTATAGGGTGATTTAGAAAGAAACAACATAATCCTTCCTTGAAGAATGATAAACCAACCACAAACTATGAGGTGAAGATCTATGTAAACCTCCCCCCGTAGGTAGAATCCAACCTCCTTATTTCTAATATAATTTGATACCCTTTATATGGATTATAGGGTCACCAACTGAATGATTAACGCTCCTTAATCCAACAACTTCATCCTACTAGGTTCAGAAATGCGTGATGGCATTCTCAAAACTAGAATGACCATATCTAATTGAGTATAATAACCTCAGAAACACATTGACACGAATATAAGATTTGACTGCAATTCTCGTACTGGGTCGCATATGATAAGAAGTGTCAAACAAGTACTGGGTGTGATACAGCTTCCCAAGATTGGTAGTAATGCCGGATAGATAGTAACTTTACACAGCGAAATAGAAACGAGTAGATAACAATACTTAAAAAATACACCAAATAAAACATTAATTTGAAGAAAGCCACTGAGTATTTCATTTCCCCGACCTAAGAAATAAACAAGAACCTAACATTGATAATTTTTTAAGACATTAAAAATGTTTGGGTTGGGCTGCAACATAAGTCAAGGTCTCATGCTTCAGAAAACATTCTTACAATTTACCCACTTCAAAAAGTCATCGGGTCAACATTAAGATTTAGGACCAGTTTTGTAACCCTCAAAAAGTACATTCAAACAACATTTGGAATATACTTTTACCAAATCCAACAAATAATAGGATCTTCCAAATGGAATTTTGCCAGATATAAAGTGAAAACCAAACACACACTTAAACCCTTTCCCTTGCAAGAGATTTGCTAAAATTTTACAAACTAGACCAACCTTGTTGGCAGTGATGATCTTTCTATGAAACTAGAAGCATGTTGAAGCTCAAGATCAATCCAATTTTGCAACCACAGCAATAATTTTATTCCTCATCACAATCACAATAGTTTTCTTTTTACATCAATAATGGACTGGATAAAGGATTATCCCAAATTCAGGATCTCCTCTTTTGGTAAGTGTAGATATCATTACTAAATTGGACTATAATATTCAGAGAGCCTCCTAAATTACTTTCCCTTCCTCATAAATAAAATGGAAAATCATACAGTTGAAAAGAATTAAAAAAAAAAAAAGTGGATAACTAGAGATAAAGAGTTAAACAGTTCTAGAAGAAGCTGCTATGAAAAGGAAAAAGCAATATTCTAAACTTAAACACCGTGACCATTAGATAGAAGTTCCTCATCCCATGCCACCAGAAGTAGCACTGTCAAGGCAAATCTAAATAGATGCCCAAAAAGAATGTACAAAATTCATATATTTGACCTTCAAAACTAAGAGGGAAAAAATTGAAATTACCACTAAATAAGCACATGCATAGAGCACAGTCTCCGCATTATTCGATAGAAATTGATCAACTGCCAATTCAGTTATATATAAAATGAACCACAAATGAACATTTGGGTTAAAAAACATATGATCCATACTTCTCATTTGCTCCTCTTATATTACATATTTATGAGGTTCAAGAGGCTTGAATACAGATATCAAAGTAAAAGGCAAAAAATGGACCAAGATCAAACTGGATAAGGACAACATAAGAACAAAACTTTACATCCACACTTCTACACCAAAGTAAAAAAAACATTTCAGGTAACACATAGCATCTCACAAACCAACTCTAAATCCAAATCCAAGCGCCACACTCTCACCTGGCATTACTCTTCACCACAAAATAAAAGGGCATTTTAGACTAGTAAATGTTTGCCTAGATGATAAATATTAAGTACAATCAAAACAGTAAGCCAATCCACAAACAAAATGACAACCAAAATTATTGAAAAACTATGGATTATGGATTGAATGAATGATGACAAAAGCATTTTCTTACTCCTCAATTAGCTTCAGTCTACTGATGATTTTCCTCAAACGCTGAGGGGTTTAATCTTGAACCTATACAGAAGCCTCTTCTTTTTCAATGTGGAATTGTCAATGGTAAGCAATATCTTGCCCAGTTCACCAACTTTAAAGCTATTGGAAACCACTGGCTCATCAGTTGGGCACATCTTTGTAGCCTTCTGTATGATAACTGTATATCCATCTTTTGCATCAGGTTTGAACTCAGCACTGTAGCTGACCTCCCAGCCCACTACTCGCAGCTCCCACACGATAGTGCATTTCTGCAAATCATTCATCTCCAGCAGCACATTATAGAATACAAGGAAAAAGTAGAAAGAAAGAACCCTAATAGACAAATGGACCATTGTCACCCCACCTCATAAATAATGATTTCCACAGTTTGCTTTGTGGTTGGTTTTATAGGTACCTCCGTGACCGGATCAGACATGCTGAATTCTGGGTTGCAGTCACATAAATCTACACTTAGGCCACCATATTGAATTGGCACTTGTTCAGGAGAAATATACCTATTTTACCATTTGAAATGTCAGGTTCAAAACCAAGAAACCAAAACAAAGAGAAATATCATGTTTTCATTCACTAACTTGAAAAGAGTTTCAGGGGACTTTGATGGGCCTGCAAAAACAAATTTACTTTTGGTCCTCTGGGTCAAGAATGGACTGATCATCGTATAGAATGCAAGATACCACCATGGCACATTGATAAAAACCTGTTAAAATTGGACAAAAGACATCAGTACCTTTACCATAGTATAGCATAACTGACATCATAGTAAACTGGCAATCCAAAAAGTTATTATATATTAACCTGTTTGGCAACGAACTCAGGATAATTGTCCTGAAGCAATTGCAAAGCTTGTTTGGTGGCAATTCGAAGTTCCCGCTTGCCTGGCCCAGGAGAATTTTTAAGATCGTTAATTTGGAAAATGGTATTGACACCACCAGGAGTAAAATCAAGCTTCCTAATACTCCTCTCCAAGAATTGTATCCGCCATCGGAGGAACTTGGCTCGTTTCTCCTCATCTGAGAATGCCTTTTGATACAACTCCTTGTTCTGAAATTCTCCATAGACATTATAGCAAACGGGATGCCCTTCCCTATCATAACCGTGCATGAACACCACTTTCTCCAGATCATCTCCTAGATCTTCATTGACAAGTGCGTCGATGTTGAACTCTTTCCTCCAGCTTATTGTGTTCTTAATCATGATAAACGCATCCTTCACTTTGAAATCTCGGGCTCTAAGAAACTTGAGCAGAATCACATCACTCCTGTCATCCTTCAGCAGAGGAACTCCCCATATAAAAACCTGTTCCTCGGATGTTTTCGCTACTTCCTCTGCTCCCTTCACTGGGTTTTCTTCAAGTTTGGTTTCATGCTGTGGCTGTACCTCCGTGCTGGCATCTGATTCCGAAGAGGCTCCTTCAGCTTTTGCAACTTCCTTAGCTGCTGGGGTGGTTTCAGCGGGAACCGGCGTCGTTTTGGGTGGTACCGAAGAAGTGAACTGATGAGTGTCTAGTGCCTCTCGAACCAGCTTCTTAAACTCTTCGAAAGCATTTCTCTGAGAATCCGAGAGATCAGCCACTAAATTGCTCTCTTCCTTGAACGAGACCAGATTCTGAGGCAACTTTTTCGATCTCTCATCCTGAGCGGCTACGGAATCCTCTTTAGTGTCTGAACTTTTAGCTTTTACATCGATGTCTTCAGTGGGCGGCGGCGGCGGCTGCTCTGTCTCTACCACCGTAGAAGCTTCTGCTGCAAGTGATTCCGATGGCGGCGGAGGAGGCAGGTCTGTGTTTTCAGTATTAACCGCTGCCGAGTCGGATTCAACAGCTGAGGCAGATGCTACATCGGGTGAATCAGACTCCGCCGTAACCTTCGGCGACCCTAATTCTTTCGTCTCAGTGACAGAAATGCTTGGCTTTGAATCTTCATCAGCCATTGTGAAAGACACAGCAAGAAAAAGAGACGAACCTTTCTGGCAAGGAAGAGAGAGGGTGAGAAAAAGAGCAAAGGGGGGAATGTTTTGCTTTGCCTTTGCCTGAGAATGAAAGCGACAAAACACAAACAGTGAAACACAAAAGCATCTAATCAAAGCATGGAAGAAATGCGTTGCGTGTTTAGCAAATAATAATAAGTTAATAACAACGGCTTCACGGCCCAAGAAATAGATAGGGACGACAGGGACAACGCATTGCTTCTCCAGATGTTGGGGCCAAAACAAACAGAATCCATTCATGATATTTTCAAAACTGAATCGAATATTAATCAAAAAAATTAACAATTCACAGTTTGTATAATTTAATCATATTCAATGATGAAATTAATAATATAATAATTAAATTAAAAAATTATATATATAATAATTTAAATATAAAAAATAAATATAAAGTTATTACTTAATTTAAAAATAAAATTAAATATTTTAAATTTATCATGACTTAATAAGTCGATAAAATATAACATTAAATGATTAAAAAAATTAATTATTTTTTTAAAAAATTGATAAAAAATAAAAAAAATTTAATAATTTAGTTTTTGAAAATCAAATCTAGTTCCTAGTCCGATCATCAGTCCAAAACAGCCTAACTTAACTCAATCCTCAAAACAATTTTTACATACTGACCGAGCTAAAATTCATATCAATAAATAGTTTGACCTATTCTACCATCCAATCCAATTTCATTTTTTAATCATGTGAAACTCCTATCATGAGCCTACAGTTTAACCTATTTTAGGTTTAATTTAACTTATTTATTAAATTATTAAATATATCTAATTTATATTTAGACATTTAATTATGTCTATTTAGTTAAACAAACTAAAAAAATTTTTATTTGGCCTAGCCTATGATCCTAATACGCCAATCTATTTACACATGTATATAATATGTAATATATAATATATTAGATACACATCAATTTTACCCATTTAATTTTCAATCAATCTATTTATTTTTATTTATAGTTATGTTCTTAATTAGATTAGACACATATATTGATTTTAATGTTGTTATGTTATTGTCATATTGTAGTTTGTAAGTTTTCTTAATTATTATATATTATTATTGATAATACATTATATATTGTAGACTTAATAGTTATAAAATATATTTGAGATATTTAAAATTAGTATGTAAGCCTATTTAAAATATTTACTTTTAAGTTAGGCTTTTAAATAAGCTTTTAAGTCATATCAAGTTTTAGATAACCCCAAGCCTAAGTTATTAAAAAAGCCTTAAATAGGCTTCAAGTTAGATTCAAACTCCTAATCTACCACATAAGTTTAGGCTTATTTGACTGAAATCTAACTCAATCTAATCTATTTTCACCCCTATAAGTAATAAAGCACCTATTCTTTAACTTGAAATTTTATATTTAAATTTTAAATTTTTTAAAAAATTTCAATAAATATTTAATATTTTTAGATTGCGAGTAAATACTTAACACTAATATTTCAAGGTTATTTTTAAAAAATTAAATTTTATTAAATATTATAATATTAATATTTTTTTATTTCTAATATATATTTTGTGATTTTCTTTTAAAGTCATTCATTAGATTTTCTTTAAAAAATAAGTTTTAGATATAATAAAAAGATAAATTATATTTTTCTAATTATAAAAATGTAGGAACATAATCTTTTGGCATATAAATCATAAGTAGTGAACTATTGGCAAAAATTAGGGAATAGATTAGTAGGTACAAATGGAATAAAAGTTAAAAAAAAAATCCATAACTATATCCAGGTCTACAGACTATCCTAAGCTAAAATATACAAAACTTCTATTTCATACCTTTAAAAATTTAAAATTAAATTTCCTAATTTTTTTTACCATAGACTCTACTATTATTTTTTTAGTTATTTTACTAATAAAAGTTGTCATGTTATATTAAAAAAGATATATAACAACTTATATGACATCTAATGTAAGCTAATATTAACAAAAAAATATGAATAAACTTTTATAAAGTTATTATTAACTTTTATTGGATGTCACATAAGCTACTTTGCATGATTTTTTAATATAACATGACAACTTCTATTAATAATATAACTAAAAAATAACATCAAAGAGTTTCTTTTTTTTCCTTGTTAATTTATATATAGGGAGTTATTTTAAAATATGTAACAAAAATGGTGGTGAATATGATACTTACATTAACAAAAATACTAGCATATCTCCAACAAGCAATAAAATTAGGAAAAATTACTATGAAGTCTTATACAAACATTCAAAATATCCAAAAGTCCTCTGAAATTACCAAATAACTATTAGGTCCTAAGGGACTTAAAGGTAAATAAGTTTAAAGATGCAATTACTAATTTGCCCTCTGGAATTAAAAGGAAATTTCCCCTACACATCTCGTAATTCACGATCAACAATCAATTATGAAGATTGCTGCATATCCATGATTGTTAATTAGAGTAGGGTAATTTTCACTTACAAATATCGATGATTACCACCTTTATCTTCATCTAAGCAAGCTAGGTGTCCATCATTCGCGACTAAAGGATTTCATTGAGAGAAAACATACAGCGATTGTTGAATAGGTAAATGACTCTTATGCATTAATGATTTCATTATTGTTTAAGAGTAAAATAATGACTTCATGGTTGTTCATTCATTTAGCATAGCCAATAGGTATAAAAGAATCTAGTGCAAGATTGATCTGTTAAAAAATCTCTAATATGAAATAATACTACATGTTGTCAATGGTGTGTTCGTGTGTTATCATTGTGCCATATGTAGTTGTCAACACATTGTATTGTGTAGGTTGACTTATAAGATGATAAGTTCCTCTAAAAAACATATATTATGTTTTTTTCCATATAGGGAAACATTTTATAAATGATAACTAAGGAAATATGCAATATTCGGGGGGAAGTGCAAGAACAAGAACAATAACGAAAGGGATAACATATGAAGAGTTGACAAGAATGATATCATCAATTATAAGGGATGAAAGCAATATAAGCCAATTAAAATTCATAATTAACATTGATAAAAGCACGCTTGTAGGTCTAGTTGATAATGATGGAGTAAAACATCTAATCAAGTACAATGAACAAAATGGACATGTGTGTATAGTTGTACATAGGAATGACACCATACACACATCAATAGATTGCCTAATGAAAAACCAACATGTGTAAGTTGTCTAAATCTTTTTTTATTAATGTAGATAATGTTGAAAAGTACTATTTTTAATGTTGAAATTGAATGTAAGATTGATAATTTGTTAGGAGGTTTATATGGATACTCTTTGTTTTCACCAATTATCTATCCTGAAATTGAAGATTCACAATTAGCATGTGCAATACAAATGGTGCCTACACCAATACTTGAAATGAACTATATGAAATGAAAAAATTTATTTGTAGGTAAAAGGAAAATTTTTCCTAATAGTGATGCCTTTAGACAAGCATTATACAAATATAATGTAACCCTCCCCTTATATCAATGTGATATAAGGAGAGAATTAATATAATCACCACACTTTTAAATCAAACTATATTTAAAACTTTGTTTGAAAAGTTTGGGCCCAAGATTCAATTTTCAAAATCATAAAAAATCCTTAATATCATGATCATAGCATAGTAAAAGTCTAAAGATGGCACTCATCACATTTAATGCATGCTAGAAAATAAGGAAAATATAGTCAGAAATCGAGTCATGCACTGCAACATGTGGCATAAAGCTACGAGAAGCTCCTCTTTATGTCATGCACCACGGTGCATATAACAATTTCTGCAACTGTGATATGACACTTCGCAGGGTAAAATTTTGACATGCATCGTTTTCACATATGACGTCCGATCGGAGTAGTTCAAATGTCCACACAAAACTTATTCCATAAGCTAACTAATAAGATAAGTTCAAACACGATCCAACAATTCAATCAAGACTTGAACATCTGGGTGTAAAAAGTTGTTTTTTTCTAAAAACTGTGCACACCTAAGCACTCAAATTACTCTCATTGTCTCATTAGACCATTCTAAGCCTTGAACTAAGTTCAAAAGGACTTAATACACTTGATTGACCATATTTTATAACACACATATACATATATCAAAATTCAGCTATTCAATAGCCTAGTTCCACATTTTACAACATTATACCAAACATTACTTTGGTCATATTTCCATAATTTCACTACAATTCTTATTTTTTACATTCACAACATATTCACCACAAGTTCACAATTAGATCTTAGCCTCTATTTCTCATTTCACCACATACACAAGTATAGGTTAAGACTTTCAAGATCACTATACATCTCATCAAATCACAACTCAAAACATGTATGCAAATCCTATAGCAACTTATATACATAATATACACAAGAGTCATGTTCATTACACAAAACTTAAAGATTTTATTGTAGCAGCATACTATGCCAGTCCTGACTCTTTCCCCTTACCTGGCTCACCATTATGACTTATAAAAATACAACTATGGGGGTAAGATAATAATCTCAATAACAAAATTATTCTATATTATAGACTATCATATGCAACCATAGGCAACTATGACGTAATATATAATAAAACATAGCATTTAGTATAGATTTCTCCTCAAGTTACTTTATCAATATAGTCATTTATTGTTTTTACCACTTTTATAACTCATATCACATTTCACTACTAATATAATATATAGCATGATCACTACCATCTAAACCTCTAAATCACCCCGACTCAAAATCATAGGCTTACCTTAAACTAACATACATGCTCATTGGCCTTGAACTCACATTCAGTGGTAAAATCACCCAACCAAAGGCGTTATATCTCATTTTTGGACTATAGTTTTCCCTATTACACACAATAGGGTGTCATTGACTCTAACACCTCATCACATCAATATTAAGGAGTTCGAATCTCAAATACTGTACCTTAATAGATACTAAGGAGATATGATTCTCCAATATTGCACCCTGTTGGGTACTAAAAAAAATAATGCCATATGGTCTTTATCTACTTCTCTATACGGGTGAACGCTTCAACTTGGCCACTGAAGAAGGCGAGAGAGTGGGAAAACTTTTTGTCAAATCATTCTTTTTCTC